ATTGCATCCTATTTAGTGTCATATTTTCATTTAATTCTAATAAATTAAGATCATTTTTTATACAATATGCCCAATTCATCTTAGGCCTACCTTTGCCTACCTTTGCCTTTCTTAACAAACGTCGAACTTTATACAATATGCCCAATTCATCTTAGGCCTACCTCTGCCTTTCTTAACAAACGTCGAACTTAAAACATCTACTATTCTAATTGGATCATCAAATGGTCGACGTTTAATATGACCAAACCATCTGAGATAAACCCAAAAAAAAAAATTAACAGCTATAATAAAAGACCTAAATAAATTTAGGATTTATAATATGTACATGCCTCAGATGCAACATAGACCATGTCATCAGCTGTCCTCCAATATCTAGCGGGGCGTAAACCATTTCGATCAAGACATGCCCCAACAGTCTTTCCATCACTGTGTAAAATAAAACAATGGCAATCAAATAGCAAAGAAAATTATTTATGCCGCAAAATAGAGCATACTTCAGATTGATAAAAGATGGAAGCTATTACAATAAGAATAGAAGGTTGCCTGGAAAACGCTGAAACAAATTCCCACCAAGAACATGAGCAATTTATAAACATTAAAAAAAAAAAAAAACACAGCTTTGGAAAGAATGCTCCTATAAATAACAGTGTACAAATGAAGAAAACAAAACAATAAAGATATAGAGTGTAATCAAATTTTATATCACGAAACTCTAATAAAGTAGAAAATTACAATCATGCATTTTATAAAAAGACAGAAAAAGGAATGAATTTTGACCACAAGCAACAAACACTACCTGCACCAAACTACACCAATAGTAAATTCATTTTTAATTCAAAAACCTGGGCCTTTAGATGAGGACTGACCACTAGTATTTCTATACCAAAATTTGTTTTAAACTATCTGATTTGCAAATAAACCCAATACCCTCATGTTCCCTGAAGATCTCTTCCTCGTGTGAGAACTCTCACATTGGACATTAGTCTCAAATAAAAAATTTTGAAAATATTAAGAACCAAGCACTAAGAGTACACCCCATCACGTAAAGCAACCAGAGGAGTCAACTTATCCTGAATCACGCTCAACCATGGTCGAAAACTCTGAGCCCGATCGAAGCTGCATAATGCATGAACCACGTAATTTTAGTTGAACTTTCAACTTCGATATGAACTATTAAGGAACAAGAACCAAGGATTAGAAGTTGGCTCAAAACAACCAATGGTAAAATCAATTTTAAACTCAAAAAAGCTTACGCCTTTGGGTGATTTAACCAATCATTTGGCGTTTCTAAACCAACATTTTTTTTTACTATCTAATGTGAAACTAAACTCAACACTCTTACATGTCCTTAAAATATTCTATAAAAATAATATGTTAGCATTCATTAGTACCATTTTCAAGAATTCATGTTAATAAAAATTTTGTTAAAAGAATCAGCATCCCTCAACTCATGCAAAGAAACATATGTAGCCATAGCCTAGAAAATCCACGTTTAATAATGAATAAATAAAATTAAGTAACAAAGCAAGCACTTGATCTTAAAGAGTATAAGCTCACTTCTTCAATTGTAACGACAAATACTACATAAATACAAGATAATGGTTCAAATATTCAATGGGTTGTCATAATGCAAAAAGATAACAGATGGGACACACTGAAAAAGCCAATTAATGAATATTAACAATATAGAATAAAAAATTCATTAACAATATAGAATAAAAAACAATGTTATAAAATAGAAAACTCTTCTTTTAGTAGAAACAAACTCCTCATCTCTACAAGAGGCAGAGTAAAATCTAAACTACTACTTGTTTGGTCCTGCGATAATGCAATACTCACATCAAAATCATCTTGTTATTTTCTAGAAAATACAAAATTGATGCGCTTCAGCCAAAATAAATATTAGCTAAAAAATATCAGTCCACAGCCATCATAGTTTCACTAAAACATTACCTGAATAGAAGCAAAGCAGGTCCGTCCCATGCCTCCATTTGCCCTTTGTAATAGTCATAGAAATCAACTGCCTGAAACATGAAAGCAAAATTGAGGACGGAAGGATAGAAAAAGAAAAACCTTACCTATAGATGTCCAAGCATAATATATGTAGTTTAGACTGGAAAGAACGAATCCAAACAACTTAATTTAATGTCAGCTCATACTTGAAAGCATGAAAAATGGAAGTTGACAAAAAACTATCAAAGTGAATAAGTATCAATTTCATGTTTCTATGATGAAAGAAAAACCGCCTCCATCAAAGAATTGGCTTTGCATGATAACATAACCTCTGGATATTTAATCATCAATGTGGGGTGGTTCTTATATGCCTCTGGGACAAGCATCATAAGAGCCTCAGCCGGGTTTCGACCGCTTCTCAGTAATAACTGCACAAAGTTAAATGATTAGAATAAGAAATTAGTTTATAAAGTGGAGAAAATACATATAAACAAGAGACAACATAGAAAGCAGAAATGATAACCTATTATCCAACAAATAATAATATCTGCTTGTGGAAATAATCGCCATCACAAACTTGCAAGTAACTAAAGTTTTATAAGAATAAAATAGTAGCACAATAACTTTCGCAACCTTACCCATAATTTTACACCAAAGAGGGCAACAAAGTTGAACTATAATATACTATACGCATAAAGCTTGTAGTTTCCAGAGGCTTTTCACCTTCCTCAACCGTGGAAAGAGAAAGAAAGGAGAGAGAGAGAGCAAGTTCACAACACCAGTGAACACTGACACTGATAATTTGAAAATTTGATGTGAAAGTGATTGGAAACCATAAAATATTCTAGGCTAATGCTCCACATGGAGTTCAATAGCCTTTTACGGCTTATAAGAACCAAGAATCAAGGTTCATTGGCTTCTTGACAAGGACTTCAGGACTTGAGAAAAAAAATGTAAAATTAGGATTCCAAAATAAAAACTTTATTCAAGAAGCCATAAAGATGGTCTAATAGGATAATGATTAAATAAAAATCATATAAAAGTTAGACACCGATTTAGAATTTCCAGATAATATATAAAGATCAAAAAAAGGGATAGAGGATGGTTAGATAATGAAAATAGGAAAAAATTAAAATGAAGACGGTTTGGAGAAGTACAAGGGGCGACTTCTGCTGTCCTCGTAGAAAATAGTGAAGGTGAGGGTAGTCGGTGACTATGTAGGAGGGATTCAAACATCAAGGAGGATCCACTACCTACTCTGCTGTCCTCGTAGAAAATAGTGAAGGTGAGGGTGGTAGTCGGTGACTATGTAAGAGGGATTCAAACATCAAGGAGGATCCACTACCTACTCTCAATTAAACTACAACTACTCCACTTGAAAAGAAATAGGATACAACCCTCCAACTGAAAAGAAACCAGAGAAAAAAAATCTCCAATAGCATACAAAGAGACAAAAGTATCCAAAATACAATTTAAACAATATTTTTATAGGAAGGAAAATAAAAGAACCCTAATGCTATTTTAAATAAGGTAAATAGAGGCCCTTAAGAGCCGAATTGTTCCTGTGGGCAGAAAATTCTGTAACAAGTTTTCCCCAACTTCACAACTCCTCCCACCAAGCTCGCCGGCCTGTGGTTCCACCGAGGGCACCAACATCATGCCCATGTCAGTAGTGTTCGCTAGGCCTTTAAACGAGTTGAGTTTGAGCTAGCTCAAGCTTGGCTCATGTACGGCTCGTTCGAAATTGCTCGCGTTCGAAAATCCTCTCATGTTCGAAACCGGTTCATGAACAGAAAGACTGGCCCTCTCGTGTTCGTGTTTGGCTCGTTCGAAATTACTAGCCTCCAGCACAACATCCGAGGATGTAAGACTGGCCCTCTACAGAAAGACAGTCACAAGCTTTTCGAATGTTTCATGATTTATTGGTCCGCTGGAGTTCATTTTATTCGAGTATTGTCATTCCCTCCAAATTTTTTTGGATCCAACAATAATGCCCATTAGATACCAGAGACTAGAAATGCATCGTTGCCTCAAGATAGCATTACTTCACTATCAATAGGCTCACACAGCAAAGAAAAATGCTCCAACACCTAAACCATTATTAAAACAATTCTTCAAACTATGCATTATTTATTTATGGCCAAAATAGAACAATAAGTAGGCTATTTTTCTACTGAGAGAGAATCTATTTATTGTAACAAATAAAGACTAAACATTAAAATTTTTCTTAATATTGTTGCATTCATATAGAAGGCTTCTAAGGGTTTGTTTGGGGCAACTGTGGCTTATTAAAAAGCTGCTGAAAAATAATATGTTATTCAAAAAGCTGTGGTGGCTATTATAATTTTTTTTTAAAAAAATCCAGACCGTAGATAGAAAGTTGTCACCACACCTAGCCAAAAACAGTGTGAAAATGTTGATTTCAGCGATTTGAAAACGCAGCTCTCTGAATAAGCTATCAAAACACAATTTACCCAAACGGTCCTGGATGCATTTTCAAAATGCACTGCACCAAATAAGTTGTCCCAAACGGACCCTAAATCACAGACCAAGTCTTGACTCCACATCAGGCGACTTGATAGAAATGAATCAACATAAAGTATAGGAATAACAGTTTGTTAACTATATGTCACAATTTTAAATTATATCACAATATGGTGTTTGTAATTCTTTATCAAAAATAAAGAGACATTATGTACATGAAGACCAAAAATAAATTTCATAATCCAAATTGTTGTCTTCTTAAGAAATCATTTAAAAGTTTACAAGGTAACAGAAATCATATCGAGAATTTTATAATATTAAACTGGAAGACCTTAAAAATATCAGATAAGTTACAAAATCATACTTCTGCAGCACTATCAAGGTTGGCTGAATCTGATGCTTTCGGGTTGCCATATGGGCGTATTTCATTTTCCCGACCACGCCAAACAGGAGACTCAATAGTTGTCTCTCGAGATTGCATCCAGTTCAAGTTTCCCTATCACACGATCTATTATATGAGTTATCACAAGGCAGCAATAAGAAGTGGCCCTTCAAAGGTGCTAAATGTGGAAAGAAATGTGTTTAACCACGATAAATCAATTTAGAGACCTGTATGGTATTGATCTCCCCATTATGACCCAGCAGCCTCATAGGCTGTGCAAGAGGCCATCTAGGACTAGTATTTGTGCTGTATCTACGATGATAGATTGCAAATGCAGACTTGTATAGGCCATCCTGTAGGTCCAGATAAAATTGGCCCAGAACAGCTGAGCGAAGCATTCCCTTGTAGACAATTGTCTGATTAGACAAAGAACAAAAGTACATCTCATCTTTCCACTCTTCTGCTTGTGCTGCTCGTTCAACCAGCTTTCTGCATATGTAAAATTCCCTTTCAATGTCATCAACACTCTCCTCTTTTGGTACTTTGATAAACACTTGTTGTATGTTGGGCATTGTTTTTCTTGCATAGTAACCAACTACTGTCGTGTCTACAGGAACAGGTCTCCAGCCGATAACCTCCAAACCCTCTTCCAAGAAAGTCTTCATGATAACTGTACAGAGCTAAAATTAGAAACTTTTGAATGCCAAAATGCAGAAAAAATTAAGGCAATTGTTAGAAGTAGTCAAATCAAGAACAATGATAATATAAAACTAGAGAAATCATCCAAAAGCGTAGCCATAGAAACAGGAAATCCAACAAACATAATCAATTGTTTATAAAAATATTTTTGAAGAAATTGAAGCTTAACAGTAACAGGAAAGTAATAAAGAAACAGAAAATGGATCATAAATGAAAAGAAGAGAAGAAATAATGTTATCTAGCAGCTTCTAATTTCATTAGCATCCAATTCAGCTAAACCTGAAAGAGTTGATGCAGAAGTATATGATTTTGCAACATATATAATTAAGTTCTCGATATGATTTTCGTTACCTTTGTTAACCTTTTACATGATTGTTTAAGAAGACTATATGGTTGGATTACAAAATTATTTTTGAGACTTCATATGCATACTCTCTTTATTTTGATAAAGAATTACAGACATAATATTGTGATATAATTTTAAATTGTGCATATAGTTAACAAACTCTTATTCATATACTTCCCGTTTAATCATTTCTATCAGGTAGCCTGATGTGGATTCGGGACTTGGTCTATGATTTAGAAGCCTTCTATATGAATGCAACAATATTAACAAAATATTTGATTTCTTGGTCCAAGATTTAGAAGCTTTATATTGAATGCAACAATATTAAGAAAATATTTAATCTTTAATCTTTATATGTCGCAACAAAGGGATGTTCCCTCTTAGTATTTGTACAAGGATCTTTTCAGGAAATAGAAACTTAAAGGTAAGAAGAAAGTGATAGAGAAGCAAAAATAGGATCATATATGAAAAGCAGATCAAAAATGATGCTATCTAGCAGCTTCTCATTTAATTAGCATCAAATTCAACCAACTTTGATAGTGCTACAGAAGTATGATTTTGGAACTTATATAATTAAGTTCTAGATATGATTTTTGTTACCTTGGTTAACCTTTTAAATGATTTATTAAGACGACTGCATTGTTGAATTACAAAATTAGTTTTGAGGCTTCATATACATATTCTCTCTTCATTTTTTATAAAAAATTACAGACACAATATTGTGATATAATTTAAAATTGGGATATATAGCTAACAAGCTGTTATCTCTACACTTTCTAAAAAAATAAAATTATATCACCATATTGTGTCTGTAATTCTTTATCTTAATAAAGAGAAAATATGTATATGAAGACCCAAAAATAATTTTGTAATCCAACAATGAAGCCTTCCTAATAAATCATTTAAAAGGTTAACAAAGGTAATAACATTCATATCGAGAACTTAATTAAATAAGTTACAAAATTATGCTTCTGCAGCACTATCAAGGTTAGCTAAATCTGATGCTTTCAGGTTGGGCGTATTTCATTTTCCTATACTTGCTGTTGATTCATTTCTAACAGACATGATCATTTGTTTATAAGGGTGTTTTTAAGCAAAAATGAAGCAACAGGAAAGTAATAGAGAAACAAAAAACAAATCATAAATGAAAAGGAGATGAGAATTGATTTTATATAGCAGTTCATTGGCACGGATAAACATGCTAAATAAATAAAGCTTTAGAAAATAAAGGAGAATAAGAGTAAAGAAAACAGAAATAAAATGGCGTCTATGCTCTAGAATTTGTTGCTATTGCATCAAAAGCCAAAAAAATGCTAGCAGAAAAGAGCAATGACAGTGAAATGCATGGAAATTGTTTACCTGTTTTTGCTGCATTCATATAATTTTCATCTTCAGGAAGAAAAACCATCCCAACACCAGTGTTACTTCTATCTAGAGAAGATATTCCCTGTTTGCTAGCCCAGTCATTGAACAGCTCCCACGGAATTGAAGTCATCAAACCAGCCCCGTCACCAGAGATATTATCTGCTCCACAGCCGCCACGATGTTCCATACAGCCAAGTGCTGTTAGAGCATCCAAAATTACATTATGGGATGCTTTATTTTGCAAGTTTGCAATAAAACCAACTCCACAAGCTCCTCTTTCTGATATCATATAATTCAAATTTACGACCTGGAAAACCATCAAATTGTTTGAATTTTGACAACTGATATGCCAAAAACATTTTTTTTTAATTTCAAGTTAAAAGTCAAAGGAAGGATGATTTAAAACAAAAAGTAAATGCTTCTATAAGTCAGTTTAAATAAGTTTCTACGCAGTATAAATGGCATTTTGTAATGCATGGGAGGGCATGTGCTTTGTGAATGGAAGAAAAAAGATGAACACAAAATACAAGTCACTTTGACATTGTCCTCTCTCATAAGAACTCAAATACTGTGTAATCGATAGATTTATTTGCTTCATTAAATGCCTCAGGTGTCACCTTGCATCTAAATAGGAGCCGTTATTTATGCCTAAAAAAATTGGGATGCCAAAAAAAGGTCAAAATCCCCATTGACCATTCTAGGAGGTTAGCGTAAGCAATAACACTAAAGCAAGCAAACACGAACTGATAGATTAATCGGGCATTCGGAAGAAATACTATCTCAAGTAGCATGGTACTTCCAAGAAGAAAGAACCACACAATCCCCAAGTAACATTTGTTACTAGTAAAATAGTGATAAATCAGTCATTTGATTTCGATAGACATCGAGGCTTGCTGATAGTGAACCAACAGAACTTGCATTTTTTTTTTTTTTTGATAAGGTAAAAAATAACATGGCAAGACAATTAATAGAACAGAATTTGGGACTGCCTATTGAGACAAATAGCAAATTTTCAACAAAAATTATAAAATTGAAAAAGATGGGCATTACTTGTACAACTCATTGTCCTGCTTGCGTCACATCAATGCGAACACATGTTCTAAAAAGTTAGGAGGGATGTGAAGGTTATTTATTGTGCACAAGGCCGATTAGTTGAACATTAAATCAAACATGATTCTTCTTCTAAGGAAACGGGATGATTGAGATGCTTTACAAAACTATATCAAATGAACGCAGCCTCAGACAGAAACCACAAAACGGCAAGTTCAGCCCAAATCTAATGGAATAAGGTTGCACTTGGCTGATACTGAACATCAATATCCGCAATCTTCACCGATTCACGATTGCAGATCATTAACTTAAACGCAACTATATTCTTTAATCATCTTCAGAGCAAGTTAGAAAAGGCTAAGACCAAATGATTAGAAAATTAGCTCAGAAACGCAGCTTACTGCTCCAAACTACCAAAAACCAATCATCATCCGGCGAAAGAATCGGAGTAAAAGCAATCAAACCTGTTTTATTATTCAATAGGCTACCACCCATCGCAATGAAATACACAACAAGGTAAAGAAAGCATCATGAGGAGTCCTCGGCAACACTACCTCGGACCGCTCCTTGCCCAGTTGCCCTTCGACAACATCCGGCGCTCTCCGTGCCCTACCTGATCCTTCGAGTTCGAGGACCGCCCTCATCACCGGCGACCAACACGTTCTCACCCCAGCATCTCTTCGCCGCCTCGACCGCCGTAGAGAGAGCCGTGCTAAATCACCGACGAGAAAGCTTCGGTACGAGGAAGACGCGAACAGGCGGTTCGAGATTGGTTGACGAGGAAGGAGCCTGGCCGACGGCGCCGGTGTTGGGTGGGAAAACGCCGCCATTCCCAGTCAGTTTCAGTTACTCTAGGTCCTGATCTTGACTAGAAACACCAAGGGCAGATTTATATCAGAAGAACCCCGACAATATTCGTGTGGAGGAGAGAAGTGCGGCCGAGATAAACAGATAGTGTGTTCGAAGAGCAAGACGTTGATAGAGATAGAGAGAGCAGACTTCTGAGCCACACGACGCCGCTCACTTCTCTCACCACCTCAAACGACCACAAGACCGAAGAGGTGCAGGAACGCCCGTCGCCCTTTATAGTCGAGTGTGGTGGGTGGATCTTGCCGCTTCTGCTACACCGCAAGAACAGTAAAGCTGCCGTGCTCCACGATGGGGGCGGGGAAGACCAGTGTTCCAGTTCCGCCGTTGAGGGGGTAGTCCGACTGCGGTCCAACCTACCAAGGATATTATTTGAAGACGGGCCCACGAGTTGCGCCTTAAGCACCCGCGCCAGTTAGCGTGTAATGCTGGGAGCCGCGCAGAGCTTCTTTGGTGTAACTAAAAATGTAATTATTATGGAATATTATTGGCCCCATATATGATGGCACTTAAAGAAATGAGTTCCTCTATTAATAATGTGCGACTCTCTCTAGCCTGAAAAGGAAAATTATTCATTTCAAAGAAGGATGCAACTATATTTCAGTAAAATTGCTATGGACTTCTGGGAAAAGTATGCATGACGTGGTTTGCTCAATTGTCATCTATGGTTTTGATAGATATATATATATATATAAACGATGACTCATAAACAGAAATGTGTATTATTTGAAGGAAGAAATAATCAACTCAAACTGAAATTGGGGTATGAGTGTTGATGGCATGTATCAATTTTATTGGTGTGTGATGGCCTCCATACTTTTTCTAAGGCTTGTAACATGTGCAGCGAAGTCATTGACAAGTGCTAATAACTAAATTTGAGATCTAAATAAGATATATATACATATATATAGGTATACATATATATATATATATATGTATGTATGTATGTATATATACAGATATGTATGTATATATAGATGTACACCTATATCTATAAATACATACATACTGTATATATGCATATACACCCACTCTATATATATATGTATATGTAATGTATATATATACATGTATATATACATACACATTCTATATATATATGTATATGTAATGTATATATATAGATGTATATATACATAAATATATGTATATATATAGATGTATCTATACATATACATATACATTACATATACATATATATATACATACATACATATACATATACATACATACATATATATATATTTATATATACATATATATATATATATACATAGATACATATATATCTTTAATGACTGAGGAACACATAACATCATATGTATATATATATATATATGTAATCACTAAGGAACACAACATCCTATGCTTAACTGGAAAAAAATAGTTACATTTTTTTCTATAATTTAATCTAAAACCCATTTTATTCCCTAGAAATCACTTTTTTTTCTCGAATAAAGACAACAATTAAGATATTAATTTATTTTTAATGTGGGTGATACATGGGTGATACACAAAAATAATTAAATTAAAATTTTACATAACAAGCTCGGTACCATTCAGCACAGTAACCTCATAGCATTGTAATTCGTCCATTGAAATAATAGGAAGTGTGGTAAGTTGAATTATTGTGGAGCAACCACCTCATCGGTGAAATAGAAACACTAGAATATTCTCATCACTGAGAACAATAACTTTAGCAAAAGCAACAAAGTCCACCTCGCTCGTCTTATATAAAGCAATAGGCGGTCATTTGATACTCTTGATTCTACTTTTGTTAAGAGGTAAAAGTTGTGAGTCAAGGTGTAGGATTCCAAAGTATACATTCTCTTTTTCTCTATTAATCATCTTTCTCTTGACAGATATGTTTGCATTATCTCGACAACACTTCTCTCCACCACAATTTTTTTGTCGGGATACTTCTAAAATAATATATAGAATATATCTTTTCTCTATCGATTTAAAAGACATATTCTATTGTTAAATTTATAAGATGATGTTAATATTGTAATATAATGATTTTAATAACTATAATAAAAAATCATCAAATAATAGCTTTGATAATTATTTTTCTAACAACTTGTTGCATGCTTAGCTACTTCTTTTAAAAGCACTTATCCCAAATTTCTTACTCCAAATAAGAATGAAATCATCCAACAATAACTTTAATGACAAATAAACATAACACATTGTACTTTATCAATGATAAGTATATAGCATTTTTGTTGAAAATTACTTGAATTCTTCCCTATTAATGAAAATTTTTTTTGAGGGGCTAAAAATAGTGATTATAAGATAAGTTTTTTTTTTCTTAGGATCCTATCATTTATGGTGATAATGATACTCAAAAAAACAAGTACTCCATTGATCAGCACTATAGCCACATGGCACCACTTGCACTAACTTACACTAGCTCTAGACGTAACTCCTAGGTCTGGCTTCAAATTAGTAGGATATGTGGTTTGTTGAACTATTAACAGTCAAACAATCACCTGATTGGTAGAACAAAAACAGATTTTATATTTGGAGCACATTAACTTCTTAGCTCTTACTATATAGTAGAAGTAGCAAGATCCACAAAATATTTATGCAGGTTAATGGTTATTTCTTTAAACCTCTTCTATCTTCTTATTTTAGTAAGTGATGTGAATGATGGTATGTGGCTCCAAAGTATGCATTCTCTCTTTTTTTGACAACCATAGTTTTATTTGAACACACTATTTGCTTTATCTCAACAATATTTCTCTCCTTCGCGTGAATGTTATTGTGATCTTTTTGAAATACCAAAACCATTCAAGTTTTTAAACAAGATCAAGGTCAAGAGTAATTGAGATGGACTAGGAATGGTGGCACTTTCCCACCATACAATGGTAGTGAAATATGGTTCCTTTCTTGTATGATAAAAAGATGATGATGTGAGGAAGTGACAGACACTAGCCATGAGGGCAATCTTCTATCTAGGATCCAATAGAGCATGGATAGCAATGAATATTACTAAAGAGCTACTAGGCAATGTGTAGTCCAAGGTATTATTTTTTAGGACACCTTGGAATGTCACACCTCTAGTTCTTCAATTCATTAATATCAGATGTGATATAGAAAATGATGATCTCTTTTGTAGCCATAAGAGGTAATGCCTTGGCTTGATGCCATCCTTTATAAGGAATGGGACGAGGCAGTGCAAGATTAGAATAATTTAATGTAGTGAAGAGTTTGACCGATCAAGGTCGCATTAATAGTAAGCATCTATCCAATTCATTAAACAAGTGTTCAATTATTTCATAAGATGATTTTTTTTAAACTATTATAAATTTCATTATGACGAACGATAGCTTATATTAATTAAATGTGTATTTGTTTGACTTTACTAAAAATGTATCGTTAGATTATGATTGATTCTAAATAGTTTGTAGTGGCATGTAGTCTTTTTGAACAATTCTTCAAATTTTTTGGTCTTCACCTTTTCTAATTACTCAAAAAATGTTAAAAATATAATAGCATTTAAAATAATGATCAATAATTTGAAATGCAATGAGGATTGCATGGGTGATATTGAGATTTAGCATTAACTAAGTCAAACCTTATCACATTAGTTTTGGGATGGATTGTTGATTTTTCTACTATATAATTTCTATCTAAGGACTTGATATGATCTTGTGAGACTACTCAGTATGGTTGATTTCAAACCCTCTCATGTACTATTTGTCTTTTGTTTCAATTACATCTTCCTTAATAATTAGCATTGTTGTACCCTTAGGTCAATAAATAACCTTTACAACCCTCCCTAATAACTTGAACAATATTGTTGTTTTTTTATTGTTGTTGAGAAAGTAAGAGAATGAGTTAGGCTAATGGTTTTTTTTATTTGTATCAACATGAGGTCCTAAATTCTTTATTATTGTTTATTCTGATATTTTAATGTGTTCTCATCAAAATAAAATTATTTCAAGTATTTTAATGTTCACTGTCACCATGCCTTAAGATATATTTAAATAAGATGGTTGACTTTTTTACTATATTTTAGCAAAAGATACTATTTAGGGATTGTCATTATATAGGTGTTGTCAAGATTTTTTAGTTATTAGAATATTGTATTACATAAAAGCATTTTCTATTTAAATACCCTTTAAATCTTTTAATTGGTGTTTGCTTATTTTAGTATTATTGCTTAGAATAATTACAAGTTAATCTATGGAATGATTTGTTCTATGGAATGAATTTGTTATATATCTGAACCTTTTATCGCTTCTCATTAATTTTAACCATAAAAAAATAGTTTCTATCTAGATGTTGGTCAAATTCACATAGGTAATACGACAGTGACACCCAAGACATTAGAAAAGCAATAAATTCATAGAAAAATCATAAGAGTATTATGAGAGAGGACAATGCCAACATGACTTGTATGTTGTTTTCATCTCTTCTCGGTCATTAACAAAGCACTTGCACTCTAATTACTAACAACATTTATATTATATAAAGACATGAAAACTAATTTTTTATTATAAGTATTTTTTTTCGTTTAAATCATCCTTTATTTGTAGTTTAAACTAAAGCATAAGAAAAAAAAAATTCTTTTGTGTTTTAACTATCCAAATTCACACTATTTGATGTTTTATCAGATCATAAACTTGGATAATATCATATCAAAGAGAAGAACTAGCAGAGTTCGATTTATTGCAAAGTTGCAAAATAAGTCATCCTATTATGTAATTTTTGATGCTCTAACAACACTTAACTATATGGATCATAAAGCAACCCTTGGTGTTTCTAGTTGAGATCAGTGCTAATAGTAATTGAGGAGGACTAGGAATGAGAACATTGAGAACTTCCTCAGAACATAAAATTGCAATGGAGCATGACAGCTTCCCTACTCTTGTGGAAGTTGTGGAATGGTAAGATCCTCCTTGAGTTGCACTACACAAAAATTGTACAATGGAAAATATTCTCATTCTCTTTATTTTTCTTGTCTTTGGTAAGTAAGATGTGAGCAATGTCGTATGTAATTAGATGCCAAATTAACTACATTATTGCAACTGAAAA